ATATACCTAATAACAATAGAGTCAATTAACGTCATAGCGGCTCACGTGCGTTCATACCAATAGGAAAGTATTTACATTCTCTGTCACTACCACTAAGACCCTGTTTACATGGAGTGGGGAACCCCGGTCTAGTGGGGTAGTCTTCTTTTGTTTTGTGCCCCCCAGAGCGTGAAAACAAAAGAAACCAACCCCACTAGACCGGGGTCCCCCACCTCCATGTAAACAGGCCCTAAGTTTAGCTCCGCCGAATGTAAATACATTAATACACTTGAGAACTTAATCTCGTACCCAGATCTCACTCTGTTTTATACTGAAAAGTGAGAGATCTGGGTACGAGATTATTGAAACTCATTTGGTTTGTTCTGAAATAATTTATATATCCTTTGAAAAAGTTCGCAATATATTTCTTCAAGATTTTTAAAGATTTATGTACTGGAAATCGGGGAAAATTACGGAGGAAAATATTAAAGTAACAGAAAAATAGAAATCTCGGTTTTTTAAATTCGAGCGCGCCTAGCCAAAATAATAAAACTAGTAGAACATCGTGTCGCCGTCTTTTCGAAAACTTTTTACCTTCTACCCCAACAGAAGTAACCTTCGAGATCTCTCTTAATCTCGCAAGAAGTTAAATGTGATTGTGCTGACTGTTTTACTTTTAGCTGAAAAAATTAACAGATAAAAGCTATTTTTTAAGTCATCCAGTCTTCATTTTTCCCACGCGTGAAAAATTTGCATACTAGAAAAACAAGCAACGGAAGTAATTTTGGTTGGCTGATTCGGCAAATGTCAATCAATCAAAAAAGTGACAGGCAGACGTTTCGTAGAAGGTTTGTATCAGGCTCTGTTTTCGTTTCGCCTTGCCCGCCGGAATGTTATTACAAAGAGTAACGAAAATTGAGCCTGATCTCAGGTTAATTATTGCCCGAAAAAGGGCGATCACAAGCAACGAACCTCGAAACACAGAAACAAACAAAGTAGATCGAAATGCACCAATCATAAGTAAAGATGTGTTTCCTAAGAGGTCCGCTAAGGTGACTGACGGAACAGAAAAACCCAAAATTCCTTTGAAGTTTGGAAAACGCGCAGCGCGATACAACGAATTTGGCTATAAGTAGGGATTTTTTTGGGTATTCAAAACTAATGTTTCTATTTTTCGTGTTTTGTCATTTATGCTTCCTGGAAATATTTATTTATGGCTCGGAAATTCGGCATGGGATTTTTCGGGAGCAAATTTTGGTCCAGCGATTTTTTGGGGTTTTGTTTGAAGCCCAAGGGATTTTTTAGAGTTTTGACTTTTGCCCCCATTTGATCATCCCTGTCACTTGAAATCCGGAGTACAGCCTCTGGCCTTGAGTTAAGCTGAAAAGGACGCTGAATTTTTCACACTTTCCATCCCGAGTTAATCTACATTCTCTGATTGGAAACTGTGTGGGGGAGAGCAATGAAAAAAACAAACCTTCTTAAAGCCGTAAAAGTATTGTGGGTTTTACTGGCTCCGGCCATGAAGTCCCCTTTCCATGGGGTTCTGGATATTGTGGATATTGGCCAGTTCCATTCTTTGCAAATCGCCAGATTATTTCATCAAGGTCAGTTTCCATATTGTAGTGGGTATGAATGAGGCAAGGCAAGTCCAATATTTTCCAGATTTCAACTTGGAAAGCATTTTTATTACTAAAAATATATTTATCATCAAAAATCCGACCGATTTAGGTAAAACGGTGGAAACTGGTGTGGATCCGTGCCTGCCCAATTCCCGGGCCCAATTGTCCTCTTGGTGAATCTTCAACAACTAGCCATTGTCAGGTTGAATGTTGGCGCGTCTGATTTTGAAAGTAGAACTTTTTTATTATGAACTTCTTAAACTTTCTTAGGTGAAAGTCGAAAAGACGTGGAAAACTACTGTTTTAGACTCAAATGACAGTAATAAAGCTGGGATGAGATTTGCACTCTCACGGGATTTATTTTATTTCGGTTTTTTCGTAGCCGCAGCCGAGTTCCGGTTAGGTTTCGGTCGATGGATAGATGATAGGATCCACGATAGGATGCCGTGACGTGTTGACACTAAATAACATCGACCGAGACCAGTGTTCCTTGGGAAGACCATAAGCCGCGTCGTTCAATGCAATACAGCTGAGTCTATTACAGATTTAACATTTTTTTAGTGATATAAAATGGAAACGACAGTATTGACCTAGACTACAAAACAGTAGGTTTTTTTTATCAAAATCAGTAGAGAATTCGGTAAAGCGTGGTGTGAGAGCCTTTCGCGCGCGAAGCACGCGAGCCTCACACGTAGGGCGTGTAAGGCGAGAGAAAAAAACGTAATTTTAGCGTCTCTCCCCAGTCTCGCTCTCTGTTTTCAGCCTCGTTCCAGACGTTTGACTTTCGCGCGTACTTGAATACGCTAAAATATGGACTGTTTTGCAGTCAAGTATTGACCGTTTTATAACTCAAACTAACTCAAATTTAGTAAAATCTAACTAGTGGTCTATTATCAATGCTGCGTTCTGATTGGTTGAGCTACTACTAGGCTATATGTAATAACCCACTAGTAGCGAAAAGCGCGGGCTTTTTGGCGGCAAAAAAGGATTAAAGTCTAGCTTTAACTAGCTAATTTTTTTTTATTCTCGATATTTTTGACCAACTAGTTGGATTTTACTAAAACAATTATTCCTCTCGCTCTCATGGCCCCCTGAGTCAATAGCCCATTCGGCCTTCGGCCTCATTGGCTATAGACTCAGAGCCCATTCGGGCTCGAGGAATAATTGTTAAATAACATCTTCGCTGCAGTCGATCAAGTGAGCGGAAGTCGACGCGATCATTTCAGTCATTTTGTAAGTCGTCGCTGAGATATCGATGACTTCTCTGATTTAGGTCGATGCCAGGAGCCCATGTCGATGCCCAATTCATCCTCGTACCCAGCGTCTTCGTTCCCGTTGACCAGCGGTCGGGAGGAGAAGCTTTTCCTGAGAGAGGGGGAACGTCTGTACACAGGCGAATCTAGCCATGTTTTGCGTTTGTTTTGCGACGACTTTTGCGACATTGTTTTGCAGCCTCGTTCCTAGTCGTCCTTGCCGATTTTCGGCTGCGACGTCACCTGTGAAGCTTGTCGGGAAAATTCGCTCTCGCTTTCGGTTCCAAGCCTCCTCTGGTAACTCAGATGGCGCGAACTGGCCTGGGTACGAGGCTGGTTGTACAAAGGTCGGCATTAGATTCTACCCACCAAAACCACATCGATCGAGAGGGACTGAGATTAAATTTTGAATAACTTAAAAGTCGTAACCGAAGATTCTAGGAAAATGTACGGATGATATGCACGAACAACCGAACATCCGAATACTAGATCGGACGTTCTAACCACTGAATCATTAGGGCTCTAGCGTTAGTGAAGTCGGAATTCTACTATACCAGCAGAGTGTACTACACTTCTGTACTGGGAGCTGAAAGAAAGAGAAAGGCTCGAGAAAGGCTGCGTTCATTTCACGTGGGGGTGCAGAAAATATATCAGGGGATACAGTTTCATACATAATGACTGAGATGTTAGTAAGATGTTGGAAACGAGCAAAGAGCGGCGAGAACGAATCGCGAAGCTCGCTGGTAAGTGCTCGTTCTTTCTCACGTGGAGAAAAATCAGGAACAACCTCTGGAACCAGGATATATAGCTAGGTGTAAATACCGCGAGCTTTATACTCCCCCCACCCCCTGCAAGAAGAAGTTTATTTCCGGCATGGATTTTAGCATTCCAGTCTACATATATTGACCTCCAAAATTCTAAATTTCTGAGACTTATGAATGTACATAATACAGCTTTACTGCGCTTTTCACAAACATGCGAACTCTAAAGTTCAAAAGCCGCCTTCGCAATTGCGTTTTTCGCTGCCGTCAATCATAATTACGACCACAAGCCACGAACCTTGAAACACAGAAAAACACAAAACGGATCGAAATCCACCAATCACAAATCACAAAACTTGACCTTTTGAACCCATTAAAGTAAAGTCTTGTTTCCGTCCGGTCCGGTCCGTTAAGATGATTGACGGCAGCGAAAAACGCAATCGTCAGTTGGCTTTTGAACTTCAGAAACATATCCAAAATTCGCAGCAATTTTCCTATCGAACGCGGGTTCGTAACTTAAAATTCCCGCCATGATGTTCCTGTTTGTTTCCCGGGACTGATGATGGGATTTGGAAGGTCGCGAGTTCGACTCTGGCCCGGAACACGAAAATTTTCGTTGCCCCGGGCAAGCGTGGTTTCTCCTTCTCCCAAGTGAAAATGTTCACTGGAAGTGTAAGTGTGCTGCTCACAAGTGCACATTAAAAAAATAATAAATAATAATAAGAAAATAAAATAGTTTGTATGTGTAAATAATAACAACTTATATAAAAAACATGATTACAATTTTGTTTGTGTCAATAATTATTATGCTTTATGAGTATGGTTTTAAAAAAGTCCGTCAGTACTTTGCAGAAGCGTAACTATCCGCCTAAAAAAATTAAAACCGTGAGTGGTTTTGGTGGATGTAGACTTCAACATCCACCAAAACCACCGACAGTGTTCGGTGCTAGATGTGTATCACGTAGACCCATGAAATCTGAAACATACTTCACGTACAATATTTGCCAAAATACAGTTATACTCGTTATATTCACCCTTTGTTGGCGAGAACTCGATCTCCCAAATATTATTAAGCCCATAGCCTGCATAGCTGGCGGTATTGTAGGCGAGAGATTTGGCGGCGGAGCCGCTGTACCAGTCGAGTGAGAGTTGGCGGCGGAGCCGCCACGAGCGGCGAAGCCGCGAGAAATACCGCCTGCCAGAGAACCATGATTTTTCGAATGCCGCCCACTTTTATCGCCTCAACTAATCCCAATTAAATCAGCCAATCAGAGTGAAACCTGTAATTCGAAACTTCCGATTATTTCGCGCGAAATGTCTGGCTCTGTTGGTGATTTACTGCGCGCATGGCGACCTCACACGGGGAATACTTAAAATCGAGGGGAAATACTCCTACAAAGCCAGTTAAAGGAGGAAAAGCCAAAGAGGAGAGCGTTGATGACCTTTGTAGATTGTGTGGTGTCAATTTCAAGGTAAAATTTGGTAACTTTCAGAAGAGTACAAGATATCTTTCCACGGAGAATTTGTTTAAACCTTCTGGCCGCGCGAAGCGAGACGGCAAAACATTAGCAGAAATTTGCTCCGAAATTGGCCTGAACATTGTGGAGTCTAGTCTTGTATCGAGTAGAGTTTGTCAATCTTGTGGCAGGAAAATATTCAACGCTGCAGAACTTTTCCACTTCATTCGCTCCGGCTTAGAAAAAGATGTGGAGGCGGTGCCGCTCAGTTCTACGCCGCACAAAAGAGATTCACAAGCAAGGATTAAACGCCTTCTGCCTTCATCCGTATCCTCGCCGGACAGAAGTCCTCAACCGAAAAAGGGTATAAACCGTGGAAGTTCTCCCTCTAAGAAATCGCTAAATTTCTCAGGATCGACTCCTCTGAGTACATCAAACGAAGAAAATATGCCTTTGGATGTCAGCCAGGAAATTATCACACCGCGCGATCGACACTTCTCTTCAGAAATGAACATAGAAAATTTGTGTGGTAAACAGACCACTCAAATTAAAGTCTTGATAGCAAATCCTAATGGTCGCATTGACTCCCACTGTTCTTTTGACGACGAAATTAAATCCATTATTTTAAATGCTTGTCGAAAGAACTGGAGCACCGTTGCAAATATGATCATGAAACATTCGCACGTCCGACAAGAACTCGAGGAACCTTTACGAAAGGCAGTGGCCGGCGAGTTTAAAGAGTATTGCCAAGACACCACTGATTCAATGTTAAAGAAGTCAAGCCCGGAAGATCTGTCTGCTTTCTCAAACAGATTTCTTGCACACGAAGTGGGAACGTGGTGCCCCTTGTGGATGGCTTGTTTGAAAGGTGCGTGTAATGTTAAGGATTTGGCAGAGGAAAACGGCAAGGTAATTAATTCTGTCGCCTTGTCGAGTGCAGTTGCAGCAAAGTGTAGAAATCCCAAAATGTCTGCAGCAGCCTATCGCATTTCAACAATTCTTTTCCACAGTGGTATAAAGCACGAAGATCTGCGGCTTTTAAACAACTTAGGCGTTTGTATGTCACCGGACTCGATCGTTGAGCTTCAAAAAAAAATGGGCAAGAACTGTGAATCAAAACTACTCCACTGGAAAAATGAAATTGAAAAGGTGAAGGGAGCGAGATTGTTGCTAAACGAAGTGAAAGAAAAGCAAGTGGGAGTTCACGATGATGAAGAAATGCGTATTGACATCGACTTTAGCGAAGAGACTCTGAAGTCATACAAGTTTTATGGGCCAAACATCTTTACATACTGCCAAGATTTGTTTGTATTTAGTGGCAAGAATGTAAGGGCCTTGACCGACGAAGATGTTGCCGCAGCTTCGAATGAACTTGCTAACGTGAAGTTGCCTTATTACAGGTAAAATATTCTGTTGTTGTGATAAAAATGAAAAAAGAGTTGTCTTAATACGACCTCATTTCTGAAACCTAAAAATGCTCAGTGTTGTTTAAAGCTGCAGAAAATTTGGGCTATTATGAACCAATCACATTCCAGCAATGTAGTTTCTGGTAAAAAGTAATATTTAAGTTTTCTGTTCATCACAGTTTGAGTTTGTATTGCATCCCTGTAAAATATGCTTGAATTTAAGGTTGGTTGACAAATAGCCAAGTTTACAGGAGTTTTAAATTAATTAAGGGGCCAGTTTAAGAATATTTGTAAGTATTAAAGCACTGATAATTCCTCAATATTTGGTTCAATTTAAGGGTAGTTGGTGACAACATCGACCTTATGGTTCATGCCAGGATCCAGAGTGAACATCATGAAAATCGATCAATCCACTGGACTCAGCAATATGCCGTGTTAAACCGTGTCCAGGATTCATCCTTAGGCCTCAATCGGCCAAGAAAGCCCCTCAAGGAAGTGCAGTTTATTGACCTCCTCCCAAACCAATCTGTCCAGCAACAGTTGAAAGAGAGGTGGGCTGTCCTGGTTGCTAGAACAGTGTGCCGGTATCTCACAAAATTTCAGAGTCAGCGTGATGTTGTGATTTGGCACATACCTCATACTTACTCCAAGGAAATGGCCTCTAAATCACAGACTGTAAGTATTGAAAGCTCATGTGCAGTTGTGTTAATGTTTTAAACAAGATTGTGCCACCTGGCCGGCACCTAAAGAGAAATAAGCTATTTTTACATGCATTTGAAATTTGCACAAGTAGGACATGGACCATGTCAAACACTTCCTTACCACAGAGAAATAATGTTGATTCTGGATGGTCTGTTACAATTATTGTAAGAAAACAGGTGGCAAGGAGCATTTGCTGTCTTGTAAGCCAGTATCAGGAGATAGTCACTTTGACTTTTATCACAAAAGGTTTTGCATCATCTCAGGCACCCATTACCAAGGTAATAAAAATATTTCACTCATTCGCAGCGCTCACTCACAATTATTTTTCAACACATAGTTGAAGAGAAATTTCATATCTCCACATGGCCATGTGGTAGCTCTATTATTTGACCATAACTTCTTTATTCCTATTTTAAGTGTTCTCTAGGAGTGGAGTTCTTTAATCCAAACATTGGAAGTGAGATGTCCCAGTTAATGATTTCAAACCAGAAAAAGTATGTTCCAACCCTGAAAACAGGTGCTGAAAATATTATTCTAAAGTCAATACCATTTCATGGTGATCAGCTCTTTGAAGAACGGGCCAGAAACATCCAGTGGGCATACCAGGATGGCGATAATGCCTATGACAGACTTGAAGGGCTTGAGACTGAATTTGCAGACTGGCATGCAAAGCTTAATTTGTACATGGTATGTTCCAATTTCATCTTAGAGCTCTGAGTTAAAATTTTTTTTGGTAATCGACAGTTACGCCTAAGTAAAGATTACTTTCAGTGTTATTGGAAGGTTGATGGCGGGGAATTCAGACTGAAAAAAATTTTACCATGCCATGCATTTTAGGCAATTGCATCGTCTAGTACTTTCTGTTTCATAACACCATCCCCTCTAGAGGACTATTTTACAAACTTGTATTAATGCTGATATGAACTACATATCTACAACATATCTATTAATGTGTATGTTGCAGTTAATTTTTGTTTTGTCTTTGTTTTGGGGGGTATGGTAGCATATTGAAATGAATTTGAAACAAAGGAAAAACAAAAGTTAACTGAAGTAAAAATTACCTGCAAATATACATTGATATGACTTAACTTGATTGCTTATACTGAATATTTATGGACCCCATAGGTTGAATTTGACACATTTATGAGCCACTCCTCTGCTGCAGAGGTTGGAACAACGAGGGCTAGTATAAACCGCACATCAAAAACGAATGCTGCTAAGGGAGTTAGCAACCATTATAATGAGTACAAGGAATTTCACCAGCGCGAGGTTGAGGCCCACATATGTGCCTCATTTATGGAGATGTCAGGAATGGAAAAAATTGATGGTAAACGCATTGTGCAATATTGAACACTATTTTACTCAACATTAAAGTAAGGGTTTACAACAGGGGGTTTCAAAACATTTATATAAAAGTAATGTCCACTAAATGCACAAGGGAAATTATTTAATTTAGTAAAATCCAACTAGTGGTCTATTATCAATGCTGCATTCTGATTGGCTGAGCTACTACTAGCGTAAGTTGTTTTGTCTTGATATTTTTGACTAACTAGTGGGATTTTACTAAAACAGTTATTCCTCATGCCCCCTGAGTCAATAGCCCATTCTGCCTTCAGCGTCATGGGCTATTGACTCAGAGCCCAGTCTGGCTAAATAAATACACCTATTTCAATTAAGGTTGCTCTCGTGAACCATGTTTCATAGCCTGCAGTGCACTATGGTAAACCCTTTTGTAGCAGGAAGGTTAGTCTTGTTCAAGTTCATTGAAATAATGGAGACCATTTGTGAAAAGACGTTCAAGAGAGCTTTTAAGTCAAATAGCTGCTAAAATTCTTAAGCATGATCGAGCTGAAAAATAGTAAAAAATTAGAAGCCTCTTCTTTTAACAACGTTAAATGAGGAGGGTTTTACCGCCTGATTCAGATGCGTTTTTGCATGGGCCAAAATGCTGGTTATTTCAATAAAGCAGATCAACGCTATTCTTTTTTTAAATTCAGATTTAAAAAAAGAATGCCTCAAAAGTAGATAAACACGTAATGTTAAGTTATTTATTGTTGTACAACAAACGCCTTGAATTTGATTTTTTTTTAATCTCCATCCAAAATTCCCACGGGCAAGGCCAAGCCAACTCGTTGAAAATTTGCAGCATTTCCATATTACCACAGAGAAAAACCTAACCTCAAATCACTGTCTTAAATTAAAAAACCTAGAATTCATTGTTTTAAAATACATTGTCTTAACGTTCTGCTGACATAGCATAGAAGCGTCAGCAGCGTTTGCTTTCTAGGTTTCTAGGCTCGTTGCGGGCACATAGTATACTAGACTTGTTACGATAATGCACTGCGGGCTATGAAACACGGATCATGTATCATTCTTCTCTGAAGCAACTTTAATTGAAATAGGTGTATACCCATTCTAGCAGACAAACCCATGCCACCATCATGATCATGTCAAGTAGAATATGGAAATGAAAATAAATAAAATGATCATGACATTTTTTCATGTTGCCCGCAGATGAGCCTGATTATGACATACCCTCAAAGGATTATGTAAGCCAGGAGACTCGCAGGAAGTGGGTACATGAGATGTGTCTCAAACATGTGGAAAAATATATCATGGCAAGTGAAGTTGAGCCTTTGATTGAACAGATGCAAGAGTTGCAGTCTGCACTTTCTGCTGATGGATTCCATTGTCGTGTGGATGGGTGTGATAGAAGCTATATTCATCACTCTGCTAGAGTCAAGTATGTGCAATACATTTTCAAACAGCCAATAAATTAGTTGAAGTGGATAATACTTTGTGTACAAACACAGTGCACATTAATATCATTCTTCACCATGACCCTAATTTGGTTTTGTTGTGTTTTATAATTCAGAAAACAGGGTGTTTGCCATCACATAGTGTGCAAAAAATGATTCTCTCCATTTATATTATTTTTATTGTTAGTAAGGTTAAGTGTTCAATTTTGTTTAATAACAAATATTATTTTCCAATTCTAAGGCACGAGGTTTCTCAACATGGACTGGTCAAGGATGTATATCAGGCTGGAAGGGAAAGAGACATGCTTGGGTACTTCCACTGCAGAGCTTCCTGTGGGCTTGTGTTTTCAACTAAGGCTATCAGGAACAAGTAAGGACTAACTTTCTGCCCAGTGGCATGTCACAGTAATTTTCAAGGTCACCAAAATATTTGAGACCAAATCTGTGGGGAGTGGATAGTTTGCAGTTCTGAAAGGACTCGAGGTTTTCTGATGTAGTTTTCTGTGTCGTGTATGTTACAGAATATTGCCTTAACAGCTGAGACAGTCGTCCATAACAGTAGTACCATTTTATTGCACCAACTCTCATTATGGGTTACAAAACAATGAATAAAACTATTTAAGATTCTGCACAACAATGATATGAACTTGAAATACAAGTCCTAAATTTAAATGTCAATGAACTCAGTCAGTTTTGCAGTGATTTGATAACCCCAATGAATGCATTGATGCAGATGATGCTGAATTGATGTTGTGAGTTCCCAAATTTCAAAGGGTTGAAATTTTCTGGGAAAATGATTCTGCTGATTAAGGATTTTTTCATTCTGATCTCTAGTTTTAATGTAACTTGTGCATTTTAACTTATTTTTGCTTGTAGTCATGAAAAAACTATCCATCCAAACTTCTCAGTGGAAATTAATGAAGAAACAGAAGAAGAGGAAAAGTAAGAGAGTGTGGGAGAAGATTATCTCTTCAATTATCATCAGTCTAAACTAGCATTTGGCCTAATTCTGTTTGAAATGGATGATGCCATCAAAGAAGGAGACGGTAGACGGCTCCATGACCTCTATAAGTTTGCACTACTGATATATAAGGCATACGGGAAGACAAAGTATGCATATGCTGTTCTTCTATACCTTGTAAAAATTGAGGCAATTTTATCTGAGGAAGATGCTCACAGTCTGTTATGGAACCGCACATTCAACAAGTACGGTGTGCCTGGGAGAAACATTCCACTAGACTTGAGAATGGAACAACTCAACAAGGATGTGAAATGCATGTGGAGAGCTCTTCAGGCCAATATCAATGAAGGTTCTGCTGAAAGAGTTGCGAACACAGTAGAACCCATGGAAGGCATCAGAGATTCTATAAAGAAGGATTGTGGGCTGTTGGAAACTCCAGGATACAGGTCATCTGGGAAACCAGAATCAGCAGTTCTTCAAATCACTGAAGATCTTGTGAAAATTGCAGCTTTTAAACATGAAAGTGGCAGACAAGGACACCCCTCATTCCCAGATTTTCCATCCAATTTGCTGAGAAAGATAGACTATCGTGACCTGCATACTTGGATGAAGGGACTTATTAAAACTTGGGAACCAATTTATGAGTTTAACAGGGTTGATTGAGAAAAAGCTTCAGTCTCCTTGGAAACTTTCTAATGACCTAAACTGATGCATTTTTTTCATTCTTAATCATCTGTCACTTGTTGGTATACAGTACTGTTGCCAGTCATGTTGTAAATATTTTTAAGCAGGTGAAGTGTTTAGCCTTTCTGCAAAATTGATGTTTCTGTTCTTGTGCTTTTATTAACCGGTAATTAAAAAATACAAAGACAGTAAATGCTGGTCAATGAGTTTGAAACAAAGAAAGAAAAAATTATACCAAGGGAGACTATTATTGAACCTATACAAATAACATTTACTGATATGATCATTGTTCCACACTTAAAAGTAATTCCCAGCTTCATTGTTCAGCTGGTTCCAATGATAAAGTGGTAGCTAATAGTAAAATAGTAGCTAATAGTAAAACAAGAACTTTCTATAAGTTAATTAAAGATTATAAGGAGTGCCCACCTACATTGTAAAATTACCAGTGAACATGTCTGCTACATGTACCTATAGGAACAGGAAACTATTAAAATTTTGTGGTGCATGTCCTTGGTATTCTGAAATTGAGACTGCACTTTTAATTTTCAGTAGACAAAAACCTTGTACCAGAATAATTTAAATAATTTGCGGAATAATTTGCCTTTTTTTTACATTTTTCAAGGGCTATAGATGTAAAATTATTAGTTATTGGTAATAACACTAAAGAAAATTATTTCTGCTGGGATGGGCTCCCATGAGAAATAGTCTTTGGTGTTATTACGGATAATAAATTATATCTATAGCTCTTAAAAAATGTAAAAAATAGTGTGGTATTGTTTAAGATATTCTGGTACAAGGTTTTTGACCACTTAAAGTTGAAAAAACTCAATTTCCTGATGGATTCCATCTTAAGATTCACATGTATGTACAGGGTCGCGGTGTATGGAATTTTGCTAAATTTGCTTTTCGATTCCCAAGGCCTAATAAAAGGAAATTAGTGGTATTGATACCAGAGTAATGAAATAAATGATGAAACAATAATATCATTTGCAGCCATGCTCTGCCACATGTGCCCTGTAAATCCACAAGACTTAAATGGACATCTGAAGGACTCTTTGTTACATCCAAGATTGGAATGAAAATTTGAAGATATCAAAAAAACTCAATTTTAATTTTGAATACTGGCCACACATGATGGAGCATGGCTATAATAATATTATTGCAAAATTGTAATACACATCTACTAACTAATCTCACCTTCAATTCACGGAACTTATATATATGGAAATACACTGTTTATGGCAATGAAATTGAACAGGGTGACTTTTTTTTCTGTCTAAGTGGTCTGTGGTGGAAAGAAATCAATACAAATCCGGTACAAACTAATGACAATATTGCAGAAGTCTATCACTCTGGCAAAGCATCAGGATCAAATGCAAAGTCTTCTACAAAGTCCTCGTAACAGCTCTCTAGTAGATTATCAAATTCACTGTTAAAATAATCATTGTTAGCATCTGTAAAAGAACCTAAAAAATTGTTTTCAGTTATGTCATCGAAAACCTCATTCAAAATACCAAGTATTGCAACAGCATGTCTCCTTGAAAAAACTGGAACATTCACAATGATATCCTCAACTGAAAACAATTTATGGCAATGTGCCACCACATCAAAGATGAGTTCTTTTGAGAAGCCGTGACTCGATGCTGACCCAAATGCACTTCTTCCATAGCCTTGGGACATACTTGACTCCAGCTCTGAGAGTGCACCTTTTAAAAGGGCTCTCTCTTCATCTGAAACATGTCTACATTGGGCTGGGTTTTCTTGTTCAGCTGTAGATTCCCTTTCAAATGGTTTGAGTGGTCCTTTGCAACTGTCTGGGCTGTCACAGCAGCAATTCTTTGCACAAAAATTACAGCAGTCATGAGATGGAAGCAATGGAGCAATATCAGGGTCAAAACTTGAATAGCTTGCAACACGGTAACATGTAGTAGATTTTAAAAAAGAACGGACGTCATCCTCACAGTGAGATAGCTGCTGCCCATAAAATAACACGATAATGTCAGACGGGTTCCCATCCCGTCCAGCTCGCCCTGCTTGCTGATGAAAGTCAAGAAGGTTCCTTGCAGGGCCAAAGTGCACTACATAACGGACATCAGGAAAATTAACACTCATACTAAGTGCCGTTGTAGCTATAGCTACTCGTTTGAGTCCTTGGCCTTTAAAAGAAAGAAGCAACCTTTCCTTGTATTCCTTGAGTGAAAGGGAATGGAATATTCCCAACAAACAGTGTTCATGTTTCCTTGAATTTCTTGGATAAAAAGCACCCTCTCCCAGTGTCATCATCATGTAGTTCATGACACTTGCAACAGAATATAGTGTATCGCAGAAGATAATAGTTTTGGGGGTATCCTTCCCATGCTGCTTGATCATATCCACAAGCCAATCAAGATGCTTCAACATATTTAACCTGGGGACCTTGTGAACCGAAAGTCTTAAATTAACTCTGTTTGGACTTACAAACAGTGTCACCGGGTTCCTCATCAGCAGTTCGCTAATAACTGTATTCTCTGTATCGCTGTCTGCAGTACCGGTTAGGGCTAACACTGGAGTTCCTTTAAATAAACAGAATAACAATGGAGTTAAAGGAAAGGGTCACCATATCCATATTAATCCTATACAGCAGACAAAGGTAAGCTATCAATTTAATATCCGTGTGTCTACTTCTCTTGCTGCCTTTAACATTGCATTAAAAAAACACTGTTCAGCTGGATAATAAATGCTGTTCTTTTTGTGTCCAATGTTAAATTTTGAAAATTACCTGTACATACATGGCCACATACATGTATAGTTTTTTCTAAAATATTTGATTTTTATCTTCCTTATTTATATGTATCTACCTATTTATTTCACTTATTGATGTACTTTAATAATATTTTATGCATTTTGCAAGAAACAATTTCGAAGTTAAATAGAGTCTTTGATTAATTGATTCAAAGTCATAGTAACAAAACAAAACAATGTGCCAATCTGTGCCTACTCACCATCTTTACACATCGATCGAAGCATTGACAGTTTGCCATATGCCCCACGAAACACACGATTAGGCTTTGCGGATTTTCCTTTCCTGATTGTGACAATGCAAAGAACAATTCAGATTTCAGCTCAAGTTTGCGTGGCAAAAATTTCAAGTTTTGATGGCACATAGGATTTCAAGCTCATGTAAAATAATAACAACATAACTTGCTTTCTCCTCTCACCTCTTTCCCGTCCATGATTCAACTGTATGAGACTCATCAACCACAATCGCCGATACTGCTTTATGAATAGCTGTGTTGCTGTTCTTCAGTTCACCAAGAAATGGTGTTTGGAGGACATTTTCTGCAGTACAGTATAAGAATTGTGGCGGGTCACGCAGAACAGACGTCAAATTTTCGCCAGACAATTCCAACGCTGTGAAGTCTAAAGACGCCATTTCGGCAATTTGGTCGTCAATTATGCTTTTTAAAGGGGAAACCACAATCACACACGTCTTTTCTGATCGCAATTGCTCCTTCGCAATGGCAAAAACGGTGAATATTAGGCTTTTGCCGAACCCTGTGGGCAAAATTGCCATGACATCCCGTCCAGCAAGCAGCTCCTTCACAGCCGTTTCCTGCTCCCTCTTAAGAATAATTTTCTCCTTCTCTCGACTCACATTGAGACGTTCTAGCGCTTTATCTAGAGCTTTATCGATGGTTGATTCGGTCGACTCCGCCATTATTTTTCGCAATAGTCTACCATCTACTCCCTTGGGAAATATGAGAAAGATCATGCGAAGGATCATCTACTATGATTGACATATGTATAGCCCTCGACCAATCAGTTTCCCCGCACACTGGTGTGCGGGCTATTCAAAATACCGGGGTTTTCTTGCAGGCGGTATTTCAAACGCCTCGTCCCCACTCCTTTTTTTTGGATCGCGGCTCCGCCGCCGAAACACTAAATCAAACAATACACAATACCGCCAGCTGCGCAGGCTATTAAGCCCAAAGCAAAAGAAAGGCGAATCCCCGGGAGGTGAATTTAGGTGAATACGTCAAAACATCGTAGGCATCTTTCGTTGGTATAACATGTCACAAGGGTGTCCAAAAGTCAATCTCAGTCCCTCTCGATCGATGTGGTTTTGGTGGGTAGAATCTAATGCCGACAAACACGCTAAAGGTCTGTGCGGAAATCGTGGTCCGTCCGATGTTTGCTGTCTTTCTAAACGGCCTAAACGGTAAGAACAGTTCAAGAAGTATTGTGCGCAACATTTTTTTCTCGTTTTATTTTTTTTTCTAGGTTTCAAGATTAGTTATAGCGAGTATTCTTTTGTCACACAGATTGTTATCTCCGGAATCAGGATTGTATAAAGTTACATATTAAGTGAACGGTATGTGCTGTACGTCTACCTGAGCTGTGAATAAACAAGTTTTAGCCTTTACTTTTTTATTGTTTTGTTCTCAACTCTTCTCGTCATGTGTACGATGATTGTTTGACGAAGAAACAGCCTTGGGCCTATTTTTGGAGGGGCTTATCTACGGAGGGAAATTTGCGTTTCAAAATCGATTGGGCTAGCCTTATAGTTAACAGTGAATTTACCGTTATGGCTTTGTTTTACTTTGTGTTTGAGGGCAATGTTCCAAGTAAAAGCCCCTAGGGGGCCTATATTTGGAGGGGCGATTTAACGGAGGGTTTCTTGCGTTACCGGTTTGGGGGGCTTATATTTGGAGGGGCTTATTTTCGGAATTTTACGGTACTTTGATAGAGTTTCTTTTTTCTTTTTTTATGTTAAATAATGCATCAGTCAATTCTAGCTGTGCCCAGCCCCCCCCCTCTCCCCCCCCCGGGCTACTGCGAGGCATTTGCCCGCCTTGTCAGTCCCAGGGGTGGGGCATTTGCAAATTTTGTGCTGCCTGGGGGCCGGACATTTACCAACCCCGGGGCCATTCCCGAGCTTTTGATGCGCACACGGTTTCCTATCAGAATATAACAACACAGAGGATTTTACTGGGAAAGAAAACAGATTGGCTCATCTGTCAAGGACAGGAAAAAATTGAAGAGGGTTGTAAAGGCATGTTCATGATTTTATGCATTTCTTCATTGCTTATCAAGCCAGAATTATATAGCGAAATTGGGAGCTATCGATGTGAATCAACGTTTTTTGGTTATTGAATCAAATTTCTGTTGATGTTATTTGAAAACCATCCTTCCATATTTATAAAACTATTCATAACATATAACTTTTCAGCACTCTATTATTTTCAATGTTAATAATTTTACATCAACACTGAAATTATAAACTGGTGCATGTCACGGCGTGAAGTCTTAATTAGAATCCTAGCACTATTGCAAAGGAAGACGTTAATTAAAACAAAAAATTGCACATTAAAACACTTAAAATGGCACTATTCGACTGTGCAATCAATGAAAAATGTTGCAGTGTTGACGGAGGACGGGGCATTTGCCCTCTTTTTTCCTCCCCACCCTAGGGGATTTGACAGCTCAAGAGTCCCCACCCCCAGGAATTTGCCATCCAAGGCAAAAAAAATGCTAATGCCCAGGGATCAGCCTGGGGGTGGGGGGCTGGGCGCAGCTGGAATTGACAGATGCATAAGATTATAATAATTTAAATGCATTTTTATTTTTCTTTGCATTAATTCACAGGCAATTTTGACGGAAAAGATCCTGAAGCAACATATTTAAAATGACTTCTGGTTAGTAATATTATTACAACTGAAACTCAGCATTCCTTGTCACTTTTAATATTAAAAACTAACACCAGTGCTCAAAATAAATTTTGACCAGCCAAAAAATTTTAAGTTCACTTACTTCTCTTTTTTGACTGGTCAAGATGTTGAAAATAACATTATAATAACTTGAACACGCTAGCTAGAGCTAGCCTAACAAACAAAAACGTGAACCAAGTATGTCAATCCTCTTTTTTTTCTGGTCGCTTCCTTATGTGTCCCTATGAAAATGTCTAGCAAATTGAAAGTTTGTCCAGACAAATGGTCATACTTGCAGGAATTGTCCATTCACTGGCTGTTATTTTGAGCCCTGAATGTATTTTGTATTCTTTGTTTGGAACATGTACTTGAAAAGTTATGTTTTCTGCTTTCTCTTTTGCTAATGTTTTAGAAAACAATACTGGTCGCCCTTCCCTCCAACTGAAAAAGGAGCTTTGTAAAGTTTTGGAGGAGAGATTAAGAGGAACTGAGGAGCTCCTAAAAGTGTTATTTCCACAAAGGAGGATACATCAACTCATAATTAAATATGAGACATCAAGGGGGAGGAAATTATCCATTGAAGAATGGAGGACATTGTGCAAAACACTTGGCGTGGAACGGGAGTTTTTAGACAGAGTACAAAGTCAAGAAAAAGGGAGAAACCCCGAGAATATAAAAACACGCAAGGTTTGGGAAGTTTGTAAAAGCTACATGTATTATCATTATAATGTTGCTAGAATTTTATTTTTCCTAATAACCCATTCGCCCCTGGGAATTTTGTTGCAAGGTTTTGGAAGTTTATAAAAGCTAGTTATCATTACAATGTTGCTAGAATTTAATTTTTCCATAACAAACCTTATATTTGCCCCTGAAAATTTTGCCAAAAAACATGTTTCAAAGCTAGTCAGTGCTTTTCTGGTCACTATTGTGCTCTTATATAAAGAGCTAAAACTTACCATAAAGCCATTAACAGTTCGTGTCCTTCTGATTCGGGTGCAAAATATTAGCATGCATTCTGGTATTGGTTTGAAAGATCTCTTCACTCTTTCCTTAAAGAACAGGAAATCAGTGAACTACCTGCTCAAGTGGCTAGACTACGGGTAGTGATAATATAAATAGAGCTTTTTGTTTATGACCTCAAAACAGTACTGTCAACCTTACAGTGAGCTTTCTTATTGTCCACACTGCCTTCTATGCATTTGCTGTGATCATAAAGTAATGAAGAGATGTTTCAGAGACAAGACCTCAATTCTTTGTAAAGATTAAATTCATTTTCATCTCAGTTTACCTCTTTTGTTAATCAAGTTTATTCTCGTGTAGCCAGCTATGCAGGCTACACGAGAATAAGATTTTTGGATGTGTTTTTTTCTCTTGTGGTTCGCAAAGCAAGCATTTACATGCACAAACGTGTGAAAGCTGAACCGAGGTCAAAACAGAATATGGGGAGGGGGCAAGGGGCGAAGTACAGTGAGAAAAACTGCCTACAATCAACCCTTTAAAATCTTTAAAATTGTCCGCTTTTTGGACACAGTAAACAGCATTTCTCATTGGCCAACACAGCATCAACCTGTCAACGGATGTCAGATTCCCAAGGGATACAAATTTGATGAAGGAGTACCAGCAGTGGTAATGCTGCTTACCTGATTTGTGTTTACTTAAAAAAATATTCATTGTCAGTATTTGCCACATCAAAAAGAAGTTCTGCAGTTCTAAATTTTCCAAAGAATAAGTATTCTATTTTCTGAAAAAGGTGAAAAATTATCTTGCCATTTGTTAGCAAAAACAACTCAAATCAACAGTTGCCTTACTTGCTCATGAGAGATTTGTGTTTGCTCAACCCGATTCATCACAAGAATTTTTAGACACCAAGAAGGTCTTTGTTTCAAAATTTCAAATAATTTAAAAAGAATAATACTTAAAGGTAAGGCTGTTTCTGAGCAAGAAATATTTCAGGAAAAGGAGAAGAAAACTACCATATTTTTTTCTGTTATAAGGTGCACTCATTTAATTATAAGACACACCCCCAAACTTTTCAACCCAATTTTTCTAATTCGACAAACTAAAAAATAATCCCAAATACCCGGCTGTAAGGCGCAACTGCGATTTTTGGTGATGTTCAACTTAACTACAACAACATGCTTTCCAAGGACGCTGATTACGGCTATTTACCGATGTAAACAAAAGCAAAAAAAATTACCTATTTCGATCAGAAGCGAAGAAATCACGCCTATGAACACAAAAAGCATTGTTTTCTAAAACTGTGAATACTCAAGGACTTTGTTTTTGTTCCATAAACAAGGCAGTTGCCTTGGTTGCAGCATATTGACATTGATGCATGCATCGGTAGTTAGGGACTGGTCAAAAAGTATACGGGGGGGTGGGGGGGGTGGGCCGGAACAGAGAAGGGGTGGGTCATGAGGTTTTGAGCCCTGTGCAAGGGGTGGGTCGTGCAATTTTCAGCTGCCCTTAGGGGGTGGATCACCCTATTTTATTGCATAGATAGGCACTAACTAGTAATGAGACAGTTGACTACACTTGTTATAAAAAACACAGCCAGCTGGAATTATTGCTAAAATACTCACAAACCTGTTGTGCGAGAAAATACAAGGGATGACAGGCCGCACATCTATATGGGCGTGAAACCCTCTGTTAACCTTTTTTTTTTTTTGCTCTAATGAGCATGTCCTTTAATGATTTTCCTTTTTTGTAAGGAAATGATTTGTGGCTCTTTAAAAATTTATTGAAGTTATAGTTGATTTTGTATAAGATTCCATTTTTTCATTCAAGCTTCCTTTATAGTAGACACTGAGGGCTGGTATTGTGTCACAAATGGCAATATTTCTTTTTCCTCCTTGTTGTTTTGTTTTAGGAGCTTAGACGCCCTTTTGTCAATTTTATTTCTGATAGTAGGTTTTCTATCAAAGATTGTGGGTAGCCTCTGTCCACCAAGCGTTTTTTTTTTTTTTTAATTTGAATTATTTTCCTCAAAGGTTGTGTCTGAGGAGTTTTTTTCGTAAGATTCTCAAGGCTTCTCCTTTGACAAATCCTTTTTTAACATTTGGAGGGTGACACGAGGTGAAATGTGTGTGCAAGAAAGTTCCCGTTTGTTTAAAATGGGTTGTTCCAGAAAAAATCCACACCCCCCCGACGGATGGGATTCTGGAAATTCTCGCGGGAGGGGGGGTCGAAGACTCCGGAAATCCAGGCGGGAGGGGGGGTTGACCTTTAAAAAGTCTTCTGCAGGGGTCATTTCGACCGATAGTTGATACAAATCAAACGTTTAGTTCGATGACACTTAAGCGCTTTCAGACCCTGAAAATAGTCAAAATGTTTTGTTCATATATTTCTCACCTGACATAAATGATAATCTAAGTTGCTTTACAGGTCCTTTTATAGCAGAAAACGCGAAAAAGATACTAAAGAACGGGCCTGAAGGAACTCGTCGCAACGTTGTTGTCACGAAGAGCGCCAAACGCCTGACACATTTCTACTGCACCCCAGAGCCCGCCACAAGAGTGATTTTTATAAGCTAAGAAATTATGTGAACACTGCTCAGGTGTCGCTCGCATTTTTGTTTTTTTGCTCCTTTCGCTTTCAGTTCCACGCGATAGAATTCGTAGTTTAATATAAGCTGAAGCTTTAGAAATTAAAACAAAAACATTTAGACGTGTTTTGCGTGTATTTTCCATTAAAAATAAATTAAATTTAAGCCTTTTATTTTTCCCGAAATCCAGGCGGGAGGGGGGGGTCTTCCACCTTGGAAATCCAGTTGGGAGGGGGGGTCTTGTGCTTCAGGAAATCCAGGTGAGAGGGGGGGTTAAAAAAGGACCCCATCCGTTGGGGGGGTGTGGATTTTTTCTGGAATAACCCAATGGGTCTTTGCTTCTTAAGGATAGATTTTTCCTTGAATCTTGTGCCTTAATTTGCATACAACTGTGTCTAAAAACGCAGTCTCAGTGTCAATATGTTTCGGCCGTGAATTCAATAGTTGGGTGATGTAAGTTTGCTTGTTCAATGAAGGCTTCGATGTCTGGTTTACTCATGTCCCATAGGGAAAAGATATCGTGTATGTAGCATTTCCGAACTGTTGTTCTAAAGACAGTTTTGCTTAGAGTCATTGTTTCAATGTCATGAAAATATTGGCAAAGGAATCAAAACTGCTGTCTTTGTGCCCATTGCAGTTCCATCAGGTTTTGTAGGTAGTGCTTTCCACTGAAGTGGAAGAAATTTTCTTTGAGGATGAATCTTAGCATTTCCGGCAAGTAATGTGTAGGAATGGGTTGTCTTTGTAGAAATTTTCATATGCTTTGCGACAGACAATAATTTCAATATATCCTTGTTTTGCTGTATATTTGTGTCAAGACTCATAACGTCCATCGAAACAAGAAATGTTTGGTTTTTCACATTTGTCTTTTCTGTGAAAGGTATGATTTCTGTGATTTTGATTTTGGTACAGAACAAGGTTTTATTGGATTATTAAGAGGAAACCAAACTCCATGTTTTAACTAGGAGGTGGGTCATGCAATTTCCAATCTTGCTTTAGGGGTGGGTCAGTCATTTTTGCGCTGAGGGGAGGGGGTGGGTCAAGTGTTTTTTATCGACCACATTTCCAAATGCTCTGGCCCACCCCCGCTATACTTTATGACCAGTCCCTTAATCAAGATAAAATAGATCACGTAATACATGAGCCTGAATATGTTGTTAATGAACTGCCAAATCTGGTAAAATTAAGCCCTTGTTTATCAAAATAACTGTGATAAAAGAGCTCTCACAGTTCTATTAACAGATTTGGGAACTTTCTTCGAAAATAAAAGTCTGAAACAAGCGCAAGATCGCAGTGTGGAAATGACTGTAAACAAACCGCCATCTTGGATCAAGCACGTGCTCAAAAATTTGCCTGGTTACCAAGTATCAACATTCAGTTGCCAGGTGATTTGTTTTGAATGCAAAACGATTCGTTCATCATTTGATACCAGCTTTAGAAGATGTAGAGTGTCATTGAAAACCGATAACAAAAAAGAGGATGAGCAGCTAGAGCTTGTAGAGTCAAGGATTTGACTCAATTTTGTTTTGTTGCCCAAAGACACTCGGTTGAGACGCACCCCGAAATTAAAACAGATTTAGAGCTATCAAGCAGACTTTCGTTGAAAAAATGCTGCACCTTGTAAGCGAAAAAATACGGTATCTCGCACATTAAATAGTGAAAACTGAACTGAAGCCAATAGTCAC